CCATGGTACCTGGCAACAGCAACGCCTTGCATTCTTTGCACCGCTTCGGCAGCATTACGGTCTGGCAGCTTTCCGATCGCATCAGCGGCCATCACATCCATAATCGCATTGGAATTCTTCTTAATGCTGTAAGCCTTTGCCTGAGATGGCGCCATACTGCCGGAGATGGTCACTTCGCTCAGGGAGTTTTTACGCTCGGCCATCAATTCAATGTTTCCCAGGGCGTTTACGCCGCTATTCAACTCCAGGTCAACTATCTTAGTGGCATAGCCGATATAAGAGATCGTGATTTTAGCTTTACCTGTTGCCTGCGCATTTAGCGTAAACTCACCATTGAGGTCAGAAGAGGTACTTAGTTTGAAAGTCAGCCCATGAATACTGGCCCCGGGAAGTGTCCCATCCTTGCTGGTGATCGTCCCTTTGATCACCTGGGCAAGTAAGCTTGTGGAGCTGAACAGGATTAACAATATCATGCCTGTCAGCTTTTTAACATTTGTAAAAGTATGCATCATGTTTTTTATTTTCCGCAAAAGTCAACTAAGATGGGCAAGGGTTCGACTTAGCCCAACAGCAGGTACCGGTTTCAGGTATCAGGCGTTGTATTGCGACTAATTGTTGTTGATAATCAGTGTGTTATATGGTGTTATCTAATTGTTATCAATATGTTTACTTACCATTTCTACGAGAAACGAGGTGTAACTTAATATTCTCTTAATATTTGATGACTAGCTTCGTGTATCAATAGGGAGCACATAAATGCAGTATATTATAGCCATTGGCATATTTCAGGCGATGATCGTGATCGCGTTGTTGCTGAAGAGCAGATTACAGCGTAATGGTGATGATTTGCTGATCCTGCTGCTGGCCTGTATCGCTTCACATCTTGCCATAAAATTTTTCATTTTCAGTTCTGTTGATGATGTACATGTCCGCCAGCAGATGAATACTTTTATCGGTTTTTGTTACGGTCCTTTACTCTATTTATACGCGCTGAAAACAAGTAACAACGAATTTGTGCCTGCTTCCAGGTGGTACTTTTTTCTACCCTTTATCTTAGGGGCGATCGCTTATTTTACCGTTGGGGGAGTCTTGTTTCTTTCAAAATCATCAGATTACCGCTTATTAACCTGGTATAATAACATCAGTACTTTTGCTTTATTGGCTTCTGAACTTTGTTTTGCCTTTCTGGCATTGCGTGTTGCCCGCAGGCATTTAGCGGAAAAAGTAAAAGAAAGAAAGATGGTAGAGCGCATTGCAGCCTGCTTTTTGTTTATTACGATATTCAGCATCCCTTTTTTTGTGAGTCCTTATACCAATGATTTGGTGCATCCCTTGTTCGTAAGAAGTGTGGTCTATGCGATACTTACCTTTTTATGTATTATGATTGGATATTACAGACTGTTTATCAGTAATCATCAGGATCGGAACAAGTTTTGGTGACGGAGGATCTTTCAACAGATAAAATTTTAGTGGTCAAAGACCATACCCTGCAGCGAAAGTCTCCTTTAACCGCTCAGAAACAACAGGAAATATGGGAAAGCCTCGAGAATCATTTAAGAGACCATAAATTATTTGCAGATAGTGAGCTTAACCTCGATAAACTTGCCCAGGCAACCGGAATTAATAAATATCATATTTCAGAAACGCTGAATACTTATGCTAAAAAGTCTTTTTATCAATACATCAACGAATACAGGATTCAGTATGCCATCACCCAGATGCAGATTTTGCACCGTAAGGAAATCCCTGTAAATGTCCTGTCGTTGGCTTATGATGCAGGTTTTCGTGCCAAATCTTCTTTTAACAGATATTTTAAAGACATCACCGGATTTACGCCCACGGAGCACCTTAAATCTTTGCAGTAAAAATTTAATCAGAAGCTATGTCAATTCTGTGATCGTTAATCCGATCCGTTCCAACATAAAAGAAGCGTTATAATTACGACACTCCCCGGGTTTTAAGGTATAGTCAAATGTTGCTTCTCCCTTATCGATCGTCACATCAAAATAATGGGTTCTTAAATAATGGGGATACTTGCTAACGAGGGTGGTCAGTTGATGGTCATGTGTGGCTATAATCCCAGCGCTTTTATCTTCGATAAGTCTGTGTATCATTGCCTTTGAGCCTCTGAACTTATCCAATGAATTCGTCCCCCTTAGCATTTCATCAATTAGGAAATACACCTTTGTTTGCTGCACTAATTTTAGCAGGCTTTCTATGCGATCTATTTCCATTTTAAATGTAGAGGTGTTTTTTTGCAGGGAGTCTTTGATTCTCATATAGGTGAAAATTCTGAAATTTGAGATTTTCATACTTTCAGCACATACCGGTGCGCCACAAAATGCCAGCACTGCATTTATTCCCAATGTCCGTAAAAAAGTGCTTTTGCCAGCCATGTTAGAGCCGGTAATGATGTC